CCAACGGACTCTCACACATCCGTATCGCCTCGCGACGCAGCCACGCGATGTCTTGACCCGACGACGCGTTCTGCCGATGGGGCGACGCGACGCCAGCTTAGCTGGGCCCGCGCGCCTCGCAAGCCCGTGCTTCGTCGACGCGACGACGTCCCCCCCGTTCCACATGACGGCACTCCGCGCCACAAACTCGTCGGCCGGCAGCGACGACAGCGCGTTCGCGAGCCGCCGATCGCTGCAGACTTCCTCCTCCTGTTCCGCCGCCCACCGTGCTGCTGCAACGGCCGGTACGTGCGAGCGACCCAGAGTCGGGCGCCGACGCGGCCCGATGCCGTACGCCGTTGTTTGAGCACGCGCCTCCGACGGGATACTCGAGCTCGACAGTGCTGCGACGACGCAGACGGCCCGCAGTGAGATGGAGGGGTGCGTTGGACGCCACGCCATGCCGGACCACGACGGGCATGGAGGTGGCACAGCGCCCTGCAGTCGTCACGAAGCGGCCGGGCTTGGCATCGCAAGGCCGCTCACATCTGGTTCGCGGTGCCCGTCGTGCGGCGGCGAGGGAGGAGGCGATGGAGGTGGCGAGCTGTCACTGGTGACGGCCCAACGCGCAGACTGACGTTCGGTCGCCGACGAAGCCGTGAGAAGGCCTTGCGCTGCCTGCCTTGCGCGGCTGTTCGATTCGAAGCGTATGCTTCGACAGTTGCTTTGGCCATCGGTTATCTGTTCACATCGAATGCCGAGCCGGCGAGTTCAGACTTACCTTCCGGTAAGACAAAGCTTGAGCTGGGTTTACCAGCACCCGTAGCGTCGCGTCATGACTTACCCTGGTTGTAATAGAGTATCGTAGCCTGAAAGTAGATTTCACCCCAGCAACATAGCGTTCTCCGGTGGTCCATGACCTTACCCCTGGTAAATCACACACACACAAACACGCACACACACACAGTGCCACACATGCACGCACGCACGCACGCACGCACGCACGCACGCACGCACGCACGCACACACACACACACACACACACATATTTTCAACCTTTAAAAGAGACAAGAAGGCCCATCACATATATATATTGTTTGAATATAC